CCGGCCCCTCCGCACCGCCGGCCTCGGCCCCGTCGTGTGCCGTCCCGGCTGCCCCCAGCTCTGGCGTCGGGCCGGTCCCCTCCCTTCTTGCCGCCCGCCGGCGCTGAGCCCGCAGCCGTCAGCCCCGAGGGGCTGCAGAGGCCCCGGTCGGCCCCGGAGACGGGTCGGTCTCCTGCGGCAGCGGGGGCGGGAGAGAAAAGGAGAGCTGTCAGGTGTCTTTTGTACATCCCCGGGACAAAGTTGTTGCCCGCTGCCTTCTTGCGCCTTGGCTTGTGGCACCTGCCCCGGGATGGCTCCCAAGGGGCTGAGGGCGGGGGGCTGCTGCCGCCAGCAGAAACTGGGAATGTTCCGATGCTGCTTGAGTCTGTCGGGACAGTGCCCTGAAAGTGCGGCGCCCCAGCATGCAAGTCCAACCGTAAGCCTAGCACTGCCGAGTCCACCACTAAACCATGTCCCCAAGCACCGCCTCTACACATCTTTTAATACCTCCAGGGATGGGGACTCGACCGCTTCCCTGGGCTGCCTGGTCCAGTGCTCCCTCACTGTGAAACTGGGGGATGCGGCACTGCCCGGTACGGGTTGCCAGTGGCTAAGCCCAGCTGGGTGGCCCCCGGGTCACCGTGTCCCTTGCCATGCAGAGCAGCTGGGGGCCGTGAGTCAGGCCGGCTGAGCGGGGCTGCAAGGTCCGGATCTGCGCTGGAGGGATTGACCCGCTCACGCCCGTTCAGCTGCCGACACTGCGGGAATGGGCTTCCGCCGCACGCTTCCTCGGCTCCCGGGAGCCCACAGTGGGACATTCCTCCTGGGACATCATGGCATCTGCATACATTTCCTTGGATTTCTCCATTCCCCTCGCCCTGGAAGCGCTCCGTGCTGTCCTCCTGGGAGAAGAGCTGCCCTCATAAGCAAGCACTACACTGAACTCGAGGTGTTTGACACACAGGGGTTTGGGTTTTTTCTTTTTTATATGGGTGAGTCACTAGAAGTGATGAAAAGGGGTGAAATGGCCAAAGTACGGACGGACACATCTGTCAAACCCAGTTCTAGCTATGAAAATCATTTTGCACAGTTCAGCTCTTTCCTCTGTCTCCTGCCAGTTGCCAGGCATCTCCCTCACGGGCCCCCAGATTCCTTTTGGTCAGACTATCACAAGCCCTGATACCTCTTGGGCAGAGAACCCCAGGGCATTCAAGGAACCTGCCGTAGCTTACCAGAGCAAGCCTTTCTGACATGAGGTCACTGTCAGCGGTCTGCTTGGCAGAAGGAAAAACGTAGCTCCGAAAGGAAGAAGGACATCAAGGCGTTTCCTTTCCTCCCCTCAAATCTCTTCATTTCTGAAGGGCTGGAGGCGAGTGCCCTTGCCTCTGCTTGGAGCACAGTTTTTCCTCCTAGGGAGGAGGTGTTAGTTCATGCTTTGGTGCAGAAGGACCTCTAGCGTCCCTTCGTAGCTCACGCTTTGGCCTCACAGCTCTAGCTTGGTATTTCTTGATCTCAAGACCTTCCTAGGTACCGTGGAAGGAGATAAGATGCCCATAGGATGTGTATGGAAGTGGCTGGGAAAGACAGGCTGGGTTGCTCCTCCCTGGGGAGAAGTCAATTACTGTCCGCCCCAAGTTCACCTCGCTTTGCTTCCGCGGCTCCTCCACATCCTTTTTTCTTCACCCCCGGGGCCTCTGTGTGCCTTTTTGTGCGCCATGGGCTGCTCCATTCAAATATATTACATGACATGCTTCTGGTGTCTCAGTAACAAATTTTCCACTGCGTTTCAGTGAATGCCCGTGTAAAGCTGTAGATTCACGTTGTGCTTCTTGGGACTTCTGCTGAATGCCACGCCAAAATCTGTGCTTAGTATTCCGCAGCATAAAATTTTCTTAAGCAGATTGAATTTAATTTATCAGTGGAAGCTATTAGGAATACAACAGCAATGCTCTTATGTGTTCTGATCCATGTCATCGTTCGCATGGGTATCCCTTATTTCATCATCAAGACGGTCCTGCGTGCATCACTCCAGCGCGAAAGCGTGGGAGGCGGGGCGGGCTGGGTGGCCTTTCCTGGGGGGAAGCTTCCAGGGTCTTTGAAGGCAGGGGGAGATTTAGCAGACGGTAGGAGAGAAGCTATGTGAGAGTGGAAGCAGATGGATTTTAGTTGTTGATGTATTTCTAAACCGGGCATTTCACTTGCTGCTTGACTTCAGGCAGCCCAGTAGGCCCTCTGAATTTGCGCGGGCTCTTACTCGGGATACAAGGAGCAGCAGCAGGATGCAGGGAACAGCAGAGTAGGTCTCTGAGCTTATAGAAGCCTATAGAGGATCGACACAGGCGCGTCACTCTCCGCTTCGAGGTGAGTAATGAAGTCAAACGGGTGCCTTTTCCACGTGGAAAACCCCAGCAACCCTCTGCCCGCTCTCTGCTTTCCCCTCTCCCCCCAGCCCGAGCAGCAGCCGCCCCCCGCAGAGCCGGCAGCTCCCCGCAGCCCGGCAGCTCCCGCGCTTGCGGCGCAGGGGTCGGCGTTTGCCGGCTGCGGGCTTGCAGGCGCCGGGGACCCGGGAACCGGCCGCGCCCGCTCCGCCTCCCGCTGCCGCGGCACCCCCCAAGGTTCGGGTCCCTT